ACTATTTAAGGGTTTGACATCGTTAAAAGAACTTAACATGGAAGGAAATATTTTGTATTATATCCAAAGTAAAGCATTTTCAACCAATGAACAACTATCCATCGCTAAGTTCTCAGATAATCGTCTARATTTTGGTACTCCATTCAATATGATGTCACCTTTTTTTAATAATCGTCTTCTTAAAGAATTGCATTTATCAAACAATAAAATTAATCATTTTTATTCTGATTGGACTACAAATAAACTAGAGTTAGAATTATTGGATCTGCGTAACAACGACATAAGTACAATATCGGTGCATACCAAATTTTACTATCCATAAATACATTAAATATTATCATTGAAATGATTAAAAATGAATTTATTTTAATTTTTTTTTTTCTTTTATAGGCGAATGATTTTATTTTTTCGTCGGATAACGTACTAGTAGATTTAAGATATAACAATATAAAAAGTATTTTACTAACTAATATCGAAAAGTTGGCAATATATAATACTGAAAAACGTAATGTTACTGTCCACGTTGAAAACAATCCCTTATTATGCGATTGTCTCGTATATAACATTTTGCGTTATTCTAAGGGTGATATGCCCATTACTGTTTATAATTTGTTTGAACTTAAATTGGGAAACTTAACGTGTGTGAAACCTTATGTAAAGGAAAGGCTACAAATTAATCAGCTAGATTTTAAAACCTTCCCGTGTCTCGAGGATGACTACTTTCAAATTGTAGATAGGCATCCAAGTTTATGTACTTCTGAGATAAGACCGTATGATCAAATACGAATTATAGATTGTTCGAACAAATTGAAGGTTGAATTAAAAATTAACAGCAATACTATAAATTTGAAGGGAAATTATCCATTAATATTGAATTTCACAGGGAATTATTTAAGGGAAATACCATCACTTGATTATATAAAACCACTTAATATAACACATTTATTGTTATCTAACAACAATATTTCTGAAATATCGCTGGACAGATTACCAAAAACTATCCAAGTATGTAAATAACTTATTTTTTCTTTTTATTCATTTGAGTTATTTCATAATTGTCTCTTTTATCTTCTTCTACATTTTTAGGTATTAGAATTACATAATAATTATCTATTAAGCTTGAGTCACGAAGTAAGTAAATTCCTTGATGATCAGAATTACAAAAAAATAACTTTGAGTGGGAATCCATTTGTATGTGATTGCAATGTTAGATTTTTACATGAATTTGTTTTGAATAACCGAGATTATTATGAAGATCTAAAAAATGTGAAGTGTCAAGGCTATAACACTACTTTAGATGATATAAATGCTTATGATTTGTGTTTATAAAATGATCAAAATAACAATACGTCAAAAATGTAAAATAAAATAAAACAAAAATAATGGTTTCGACAGAATGTTCAAAGAGATAAGTATTACATGTATAGCGATTTTTAGCAGAAAAAATTTCTATTCTTTAGCAAATATACTAAAACAAAATAAACCGGTTAGCGTTTAGTATTATCGTTTTTAATGTTAAATTATAAAATTATATTTATTGTCTTTTAATTATTTTTATATTTGAATCAATGAAGTTATGGAAAACGATAGTAGAAGCATTTTTTTTACATATCAGAAAAATATGCCAACTAAAATGCTTTGCAAATATGAAAAAGAAAGTAATTTTTTTGCACAAAAAAGAAGTAAAGATAAAAATAATTCAGGAAATATTAGTTAATAATTCTGAAAATAATATATCACAAATACTATATTAAATGGTAATTTAATTTATTAAAATAAATGAATTAAATTTATTGACTTTTAAATATTATTTCAATTAAATAATGGTACTAATAAAATATATTTTTTTTTCTTTAAAAAATTACTTCTGGCAGAGTAAAATATTTATTTTTAAAAACTTAAACACTTTTAAAAAATTTAAATATTTTCTTTTAAAAAGTTATATTTTTTAAAGAAATAAAATATATTATTTTTCTTAATACCAATAGTAAAATAAGAAATATATTATTTTCACAGAAGTATAACTTTTTGAACATATAACATATGTTATAGTTAAAAATGAATGTATGACATAAATCAGGTTATTTATTTGCTATTTATTATGTAAAAAAGCATCGTAAGTAGCTATGAACTACAATATTTTTTTATAATTTATAATATATGTTAGATTTATTTTTATTGTGTAAAAAATTCGTATGTATTATAAAAAAGATAATTATTGTGTTATTGTCATTAGATCATTGATTTACTTTAAAATCTACTCATTTCACAATAGTTTTATTAAACTAAGTTCTTGTAATTTTTTCATAAAACACTTTAATTCTTTTCTTTATTAATATTCTTCCCGAATTTTTTACGTATTTTAAATTATGTTATAACTTATTTGTCTATTATATTATATTTTGCATTTCATTTTATAAGCGTGAAATAGATAGTAATTTATTATTTATATACTGTGTATCTTCATTTGATTTAAATATATATGATTTTTAAATAAAAAATTGTTTACTATTTTCGAACCAATGAACTGAGGAATTAACTAACACATGAAGTCGTTAGTTTCGGTTTTCCTTATATGTTTTTCAACCTATATATGTATAAGTTATTTTTCAAATTTTCTAATATTGTTTATGTTTACAAGGAAGTAAGCAAGTGTTTGCTAAATCGTTAATTTGACCTAACATTTCGAATTAAAGAGGACAAAGAGACCTTATTTGTATTTTAATTTGATTATTGAAAGATTGATTTAATTTGACTGTGTATGTCTATTCATCATTTGAAAAGTAAGAAGAAGAAGCTACATCATACAGCAACTTAATAAAAATCATTAAACCAAAACATTTTTGTATCAACGATTGTAGGTAAGTTGATATTAATGCATAAACAAAAAAAGTAGAACATTTGAAATATATTAGAACTAAAAGCAAAGTTTCATTACAAATTCACTTTATGAAATCCGCATACCGTAAAGAAATGAATTGGAAAATTGTCTTTTAATTATTCCAGTAACGTTCTTTTTTAAAGTATACTAATTATTTTCTTTTTTAAAGTAGACTGGAAACTAACAATGCCTAAGATCATTTTCGTGGTTATTTTTCTTATCTTTACAAATATTTTCGCTGATAATCCTGAATGTGAGAATGAATCGTTTTGTGAATGCTCGGAAAATGAAAATAATACACATGATTATTACATTTTAAACAAAGGTGTAAAGTTTGGAATAAACGTGAAATCATGGTCAAATATTAAGGTACTTACTTAGTAGCTTTTCAATTCATTTATATTCAGTTAAATACAAATTTCACTCTAGACATAATATGTTATACGTAATTAAATAAA